TTTTGTACAGGTGGAATGTGATTTTAATTTCTCTCTTTTTTTGGTCGCCAAATGCCAACAATCTTTAAACAACGTAACATATAAAAGTAACATACGAACTCGGAACTCCAGACCTAATAATAACAACCCAATTCACTCCAGATTCTGAAATTGTGTTCTTCTGACTCAAACCCTTCGATTTCCTCTTCCAGTTCGAAATAAATCACGTAATCGCACGCCTTCAATTTTGCTTCTGTCGTTATCATTGATTCTTTATATATTTTGGCGAAATATATAATAATTCACCAAGAATGTTTCCTGGGATGATGGATCCGGAGATGATCAGACTTGCTCAAGAACAGATGAGTCGTATGTCACCCGCAGAGTTATCCAGGATCCAGCAACAGGTCAATTACTTTAATTTAAAGTTCAATCGAGAAAAAACATATAGTTTAACCGATTTTGAGGAAAAAAAAACAGTAATACGCTGTGAATTCATGTGATTGCTTCCCATTGCTTTGTAAAACTTCACTTGGGTTCCTTACATAACAAGTGGAAATCAGGACCCATAATTTTATGTTGATATGCATCGGTAATACGTATATTGTAAATCAGTATTCCTGAAGGTGTAAGTGATAGGGTTCGTATAATATAAACACATAAATGAAGGTAAACTGCTATTTCTTGCATCTAACCCCTTTTTAACATCTACATGGTGTTGTATGAAACTACAGATGATGTCTAATCCTGAGTTGATGAAAATGGCTTCTGATAGCATGAAAAACATGAAGCCAGAGGACTTAAGGCGTGCTGCAGAACAGTTGAAGTCTACTCAGCCAGATGAGATGGCTGAAATTGGTGCCAAAATGGCAAATGCAACACCTCAGGAGTTTGCTTCTATGCGTTCCCAAGTAGATGCACAGATTACTTATCAGTTAAATGCAGCCCAAATGCTGAAACAAAAGGTAACCAACTCTTGATTATGAAAAAAGTTTTATAATCAAATCATAGAAACTTATCATATATTAATATATTATATGATTTTCTATCATGAACATGAGATTGTATTTCCATTTTGGTAGGGGAATGAGCTTCACAGTCAGGGAAAGTTTAATGATGCATTGGAGAATTATTCAAGGGCAAGTCTTATCTTTTTGCATTTTCTTATTGACTTATTGTTATAAATTTGTAATTTTGTTTCATATATATGTTTATTTTTTTTGTTAACCAGGCAAAAAATAATCTGAAAAGCATACCTTCATCTAAAGGAGAACCTCTTCTCTTGGCTTGCTCTCTTAATTTGATGTCATGTTACTTAAAGACTAATCAGTATGATGAGTGCATTAAAGAAGGTATTGAGGTATGGAAAAATACAATTCACTTCAAATCTTATGTTATTCATTGTTATCATGGGTATGAATCAAAGTATATTGTCTTTTAATAATAATGAAAATTCTTCAGGTATTGGCAACAGATTCAAGAAATGTTAAAGCTCTTTATAGAAGAGGTCAAGCATATAGAAGTTTAGGGAAACTTGAAGTGAGTAACCTTTTCAAATTTTGGCCATATTTTAATGTTACTTAAGCTGTTGATATATATATGTATTAAGGTATATGATCTTTTTTTAATATCATGAAATTTATTAGAATGCAGTATCAGACTTGACAAAAGCACTTGAATTTTCTCCTGATGATGAAACTATTGCAGATGTTTTAAGGTATATGATCTTTTCCTAATATCCTCTATTCTTTTTATCTGCAACTTACTAATGTGATCCATGAAATTACAAAACATTGTACTTTGAAAAAAAAATGACATGAAATTACAAAACAATTTATACACTGCTATACAGGGATGCTAAGGAGAAATTAACTGAACATGGTGGTAAGGATGCAACAAGGGGTACATTAATTTAGCCGATCTTTTTATAGCTATTTTTGATGATAAGGATGAGAAGGGCATTTTTGTCTTTTGCACAGACAAAAGATCAAGAGCTGAGAAAGTTGCAATCTTTTGTCCTATTGACATCAATCTGAGTCCCAGTCCAAAGTATGTCAAACACAGTATATTCTCTCTTTCTTCTACAACTTGTTATGAATGTCAACAGGCTTAAAAATACAGGAGATTACAGATGAAGTTCCAACTCCATCATCTGAAATGCATGAAACTTTGTCTTCTAATCAGAAAACTAAAGAAACTAATGATAACATGAATTTTCCAAACAATACCGAGTATTTGCAGAGTCTTAAAGATGATAAAGAATCTATCAGGTTTGTATCCATTATAATTCATCCCAATATAATTTCCTTTTTACATTCATTTCTGAAATTTCTACAGTAAGTTGTCAATTATTGATGTTTTTTTTTTAAAAAAAAAATGTATTGGATAGATCATTCCAAAATTTCATGTCTCAATCGGATCCAGAAACCCTAGCATCCATGGGTGGAGGAAAAATCGAAGGAATATCTCCTGATATGGTCAAATCCGCCTCCAATTTAATCAGCAATATGCAACCCGAAGAATTTCAAAGAATGCTTGAAATGGCTACTTCCTTCCAGGGGCAAAATAGTCCATTAAACCCCTCTAATCGTGGGCCCGGTATGCCAAATGTCACACCCGATATGTTCAAAACAGCAACTGATATGATGAACATGATGCCACCTGAAGAGCTCCAAAAAATGTCCAAAATGGCATTAAATGGATCCGGATCAAATACAGAGTCAGAAGGTCAAGAAAGAGATTTTTCAACTTTTAATGAGGATATTGGTGAGAGTAGCACTTCTAGAGGGGTGTCAAATTCCAGAAATGCCCCTCAACCTAGCTTCCCGAGTTCAAGCTTTGATATGCAGGAACAATTAAAAAATCAAATGAAGAATCCAGCTATGCATGAGGTATCTGTTCAACTTGCATTGTGAAAGCATTTTAATAATCCCAATATATGAAATTTATGAATTTATATTTGGTTTAATATGTGTAGATGATGTCATCAATGATGAAAAATATAAGTCCAGATATGATGGCAAGTATGAGTGAACAATTTGGATATAAAATGTCACGTGAGGATGCAGAAAAAGCTCAACAAGCAATGTCATCTTTATCACCAGAGAGCATTGATAAAATGGTAACCTTCATTTCATTCTTAGATGATTATATGATAATTCTTAATTTTTCCATAAATGGAGTAACAAATTTATTTATTGCAAAGTTAAATATTTTAACGAAAGTAAATTGCTATTAACAAATGTTGGTGATATTGCAATAGATGAAATGGGCAAATAGAATACAAAGAGGCGTTGAAGGTGCAAAAAGTACAAAAAACTGGCTACTAGGAAGGCAGGGGTTAGCCATGGCTCTAATCATGCTTTTGCTTGCAATTCTCCTCAATTGGCTGGGGTATATTGGTCATTAAACCCTACACTCATATCACTAAATCAAACCATTCTTTTCTTTTTACAACTAGAGGTGTTCTTTAAGTGAAAAAAAAACAATAAAAAAGAAGATGGATTTTGTTTTTGTGTCTCAAATGAATATATTTATAAATGGTCATCGACGTGGCAACTACGCATTGTGCTTATAAATAATGTTTTCCATTTGGTTTTAGTTTATTGATTAAACATTTCGATGTATACTTTATTCTATTTAATGTGGACTTTAATGTGAACTTTAAGCTATATTTTTTGTTGTCTTAAATATATGTTATGTGATGTGAAGTTCACCTTTTTGTTATATTTTGCATAGGGATAAATACAAGGTATAATAACAATGTACTTTCTATTTATTTATTTATTTGTTATAGCATTGTGCTTTTTAATTCTTCTTATACATCATTGCATTTTCATAGTATTTCTTAAGAGCATTGTATTTTGAAAAATCAAAAACCTTCATAATATAATTATCAACGATGAGTCAAGTGTAAGTATCTTATGAGTTTTCTATACAAGTTCTATTTTAGGGGGTGCTAATTTGTCCAAATCCATCTCTTTTTAAACCTCTACCATCCTTGGAATGTTCCACCTTGAAAGTGTTTTATAAAAGGGAAAATCCTAGAAAAACCCAACATATTATCCATGCTCGAAAAAACCATTATATTATTTTTGTGTACGATTAAACCATTTTATTTGTCGATCATGCCTAAACTAATGTTTCGTAACTGGAAAACCTTTGATAGCCGGTTACATAACATTTTTGACATCAGAAAAACTCAACCTATTATCTTCTAATGCTCGAAAAAACCATTATGTTATTTTCTGTACAAAAAAACCATTTTGTTTTTCGATTATGTACAATAAAACCTTTTATTTTATGATTTTGTACAATAAAACATTTATATGCTAGGTTTGATGGTGTGGTGGTTTGGGTTTGTACTCGGTAGTAGAGACTACCTCATATGCTTTTGTTGACTCAATGGCCCAATCTTGGGTGTTGCACTACCACATCTTACGGGATAACGGTATATGTGGTATATATTTTGATTATATCTGTGTCTTAGCTTCTCTACGTAACAAGCTTCCGAACATTGATGTTTGTACTAGTC